ACGCGCGTTTAAGTGGAACAATTTCTATCCATTTTGAAAAATGATCTACTATTACTAAAAGAAAACGATTTTTATTTAACTCGCTCTGGGGGAAGGGACCAAGGAGATCTATGCCTAAAATTTCATTCGGAAATGTAGCGCGAATGCTATTTAAGTACCCGGCCGGGCTGTAATTAATATCATTTATTAACTGACATTGATTGCAGGACCTGACATACGCCGTTACTATTTTGTATAATTGCGGGAAATATACCGCCTCGCGTACCCTTTTTAAAGTCTTTCTGACCCCGAGGTGGCCCGCTGTTTTTTTTTCGTGCAACTCCTTCAAAATGCTTAATCGAAGCGAGGCTGGGATGACTGGCTTATACTCAAGATTTTCGTTTGTTGTTTTTCGTATAGAATAATAAATTATCTATTATTTCATAGTTTTTTGCTCTATTTCTTATCGCATCGATATCTGTATGCTCAAAGCTTTCGGGGTCTTTCAAATAAGCATAGATATTTCCAAATTCAGGATCAGCTTTCAGTTCAGTAATAACCGTATCTCTAGAATCTAAAATTTTTGAAGTCAACACAGCGCATTTAAGTTCATTACCTTCATCGTCCAGTTTTATACGAGAAAGTGCGTCAGCTACATTGTTTTCCTTACCCGGTTTATATTTTATTGTGATATTATATTCTTGGAGTTTTAAAGCCCATCTTATTAACCTGGGCGTTAGGTTTTTTTCCCGAGTAAAGTCTACCAACAGCCGCATGATCCGAAAAGACTGTTACTGGCGATTTGCCGAAATAAACTCGAAATTTGTGTACAGCCATTAATACGGCTAATGTTTCTCTTTCTGTAGCTGTATAATTCCTTTGTGTTTGATTCAATGTTTTACTAAAAAATGCCAGCGGATGGTTATTTTGCATAAGAACCGCACCCACCGCATAGTCTGATGCATCTGCCGCAATTTCCAGGTTTTCGTCCCCCTCAGGGAATTTTAAAACAGGGGCATTAATAAGCGCTTCTTTTAATCTTTCAAAAGCTGTGTTAGCTTCCGCTGTCCACGTAAATTTACTCTTTTTTCTTTTGATTACTAAGAGTGGTTCAACAATATTAGCGAAATCTTTTATGAAAGATCGATAGTAAGAACATAAGTCCAAGGAAAGACGAAAGTTTCTTGGCGGTGTTGGGCGGTGGGAAATTCTTAATAGCTTTTATTTTTGAATCTTGCGTTTCTATACCCTTTTGCGAAATTTTATAACCGAGATATTTAAGTTCTTTAGTTGCGAACTTGCATTTTGAGGCGTTAATTGTAAGACCGGCCTCTTTTAATAATTTAAAAACTTGTTCGAGGTCATTAATGTGTTGTTCCAACGTACTACTCGTTATAATTATATCATCTAGATAAATTAAAGTTGATTTTCCTAGGACAGGCTTTAGAACAATGTCCATAGCTCTCTGGAATGTTGATGGGGCCCCACACAACCCAAAAGGCATGCGTAAAAATGCATAAGTGCCCGATTTTGTTATAAACGCGGTTTTATGTATATCTTCGGGTCTCATAGCTATTTGATAGTAGCCAGACGTTAAGTCCAAAGTAGACATATATCTCGTCGATTTGATCTGTCTAATGATCTCGTCTATAACCGGCAAAGGGTAAACTGGAAATTTAGTTATGCTATTTAGTTTTCTATAATCGATAGCAAACCTCCAAGCCCTTTTATCCGAAGGAGGAAACTCGTTCTTCTTCCTACATAGTACGACTGGACTCGCGTATTCACTATTTATGGGCGTTATTATTTTATTCTTTAACATCTCCTGAATATGTTTGTTCTTCGATGATTAAGTCTTTTTGTTTATCATAGCGATACGGTTTAGTCCTACAAGGTTTTTCGGCATTTAATTGAATCTTGTGAGTCACGATCTGACAGTTTCCCGGTTTTTCTGAAAACAAATGAGAAAAATTACTCACCACTTGCTGTATTGCTTTACTTTCCTGGTCATTCAAATGGCTAAGGTCCAATTCAGGTGTCTCCACCGGTTCCACCACCCTCTGGTCCATCTCCAGCACCACGGAACTATCTTGAAAATTTAATTTGGCCCTCGCGGCCCTTAAAAAGTCCATACCTAAAATAAGAGAGTGTTGGAGGTCTTTCACCACAAAAATTAATACTTTGAGATTTTCCTCTTTTATCTGTAAGTTTAATGATACTTTCCCGATGCAGTGACATGTTTTTCCTTGCGCCGCTATAATTTCCGTATTTCTGGTTTTAAACAGTCGTATCCTATAAAAATTCTTTTTGAAGAACTTTTCACTCATGAAATTTCCTTCTGCCCCTGTATCGATGAGGGCTTCTACTGGTACATCGCCAACCAGGACTTGTATAATTGGTAGCTGTGAGTTTTTTTACGATGACTGTATTTAGATGTCTATTTGAGGGTTTTTTCTAAAACTTCCGGGGTCTGGACCCTCCCTTTCACAGGCCCCTCTAGTCGTTTAAAGCTTTCCTTCCTTTCAATCTGTGTCTTCTGGGTACGCGGATGCTTATTTTCAAATTTTCTTTTTGGGCCTTGACCTTCGAGTTTCGATGCGTTAGCTTGATAGTTCTTTCCCCCATATGAGCGATTTCCATTTCTGGTTTTCTCCTTCCTTCGGGTACTTTGAGAATATGTTTCCCCTCTCGCTCTTTCCGCGATTCTGCGATTTTGAAACTTCACCGCCAATTCGAAGAGTTCCTGCAATGTTCTTGGGTTTCTAATTTCAAAGTAGTCTTGGACAGCGGGTAACAATCTTGGTAATATTATTTCAATTATCTCCGCATCGGGTTTTTTCCCATACAACATATCCGTTAGTTTGATTTTTCGTAAAATAAAGTCCGTCAATTGTGCTGTATCCCGTTGATAGAAACTATATAGCTCGGCTTCCAGCCGTGCGCGATCTTTCACTATGGGGAAGGCCTTTACTAACGATTTTTTGAAATTTTCAAAAGTATACGTCGGGCTTCCAAATTCACCTAGAAGAAATTTGCCTATATTTTTCCACCATAGCGCGGCCTGTCCTCTTAGTGCTGATGTGGCGATGGCAACTTTTTGTCTTTCAGGCACAGGGTAGAGCTGAAAGTGGTTTTCTATACCTTCTAAAAATACGGACACCGAATTTTTTTCGTCGAAATAGACGTTTGGCTTGATTGATGCTCTCAAAGTCTGGACCAGGTATCCAAATCCTTCTAACTGAGTTGTCATTTCTTGGTGTTGTCCAGCGGCTTCCATCCAGTTTTCGGCCATTTCAGTTCGATAAGTGTTCGGGCCCCAATATAACGTTGCGCGCCTCTAACTAGCACGCAACCAAGAGGTGACTGTGAAAGCTTGTATAAACCACAGAGTCTTATAAAGGGTTTAAGTCCCTTTTTATTCAACGTAATAAATTACAATGGCGTCCTCTTGACGCTTACAGACTGTGCCCACTAGGCAGTCAAATAAAAATAATAACCTGAAAAAGAAAGTAAAGACAAGATTCTAACTACGAGGCTCTCTAAAATAACTAACTCACCGCGTTTTACAATACGGCTGCTAATTCAGCAGACTTGAAGCTCACTGGAACAATTTCCACTAATTCCCGCCAAGCACATAGGCCGCAACGCGGGTTCTTCAATTCTCGATAACTACCTCCGCGCTCGCTAAGTAAGAATAACTCTCTCACCGAACTCGTTTCCTTCTATTTAAATCATACTACTTCCGCTGATAATTTGAATGCTTGCGCGTTCTACTCAAATTTACATATTCTGGCATTGGCAGTTCCAGGGGAAAGTAAGGCTTGACAGGAAAGATAGTTTAAACTTAAAATAAATGTTAGTTAAAATAAATATAAACCCTACAACGTGATCACCAGATCTCTCCCGAACAACGCATTTTTATAGAGCGTATTTACGTTCCAACTCAACTGTTGATGTATTCGAGCTTTCGATATCCGCGTCTTTATTTTGACTCCCTTCGCCTTCGTTCATCCGATGTCCATGTGGAGATACTGTGATCAATGCTAATTCATGTGAGATGCTACTGAGCTTTACAAGGTAAATGCTAGGAACAGGTCGCTCTGACTCACTTGATGTCGAATAGCTAATGTTAATATGCTATTTTGAAGCAGGAGACATGGAAAATGAGCAATTTCCTCGCCGGGACTCTAACCTGAAACATTTGAATTGCCACAGTATTTGTTTATTTAAAGAGAAAATATCTTTTGGAATCTTTCCAGTGTTATAACATTTTGATTTATTAACTTCAGTTATGTTCGTTGAGCAGACCATGTACCGTTTACCATATTTTGTTTTCAATAGTCAAAATATTTGTTCTTCAAAATTTTTATTTTTTATCTCGAATGATATCCTGAAAACTTTATTCGCGTCTATCAATAAAGTCACATTCTTATACATTAAATTATGCGTTGCTACTCGAAGTTTTTTCATTATTCTACTGATTATAGAATTATAATTTAAATAATTATAAAAGCCTGCTTCGGCCTGATTATTCAGCTGAACAAAATCCATTTTTTCCCTCCAAGAAATGAATTAAGAAAAATATCATTTATTTCGTGGAATTTACAAGACAAACTCTTATCTATGGTAAAATTATTAAACAGAATTTATTTGGTATTATTATTATTATTATTTTTTTCTATAAATGAAATAAAAATTTAGTTTTCGAATCTGAATTGCATCATTGCTTGGTTTGTTTCCATAGTTTAATGAAAAGCGAATATGGATTTCCAAAAATGTCCTCATTTTATGTGTTAATAACTTGGTTAAATTAAAATAAAAAATAAAGAACAATGAAACCAGCTGTCCTGTCTTTAAAATACATTATTAGCTTACCTGCTTATTTCTTGTTCTACTGTCCACTACATGTTCATATGTAAGAGTGTAAAAAGTTTAGTATCGTATGTTGCTGCATTAACTGATGACTAACAAAACCTGTTTAAAAATTATATTTTTTGCTCAAATGGAAATAAATAAATCACTTTGTAACAGGTAATACATCTTTATTATTTCTAAAAAAATAGCAGTTCAGTACAAGGTTCTTAATATTTGCACACCGTAAAATTCAGTTTTCATGCAGGACATCAAGTTCGTAACTTGATAAAAGTCACATGAATTCAGGCCTAACGGTATACATACAAAATTGAATAATTCAGATACTGGTCCCTTCATGGGGCACCTTAAAGTAAGAGGTTGATCACTAAAAAAATCTGAAGCGGTCAACGTAAGCACAATATTAGAAAAACCTGTTAATGCTTGTTCAAAAAGCTTGTTGAAGATGCTAAATGACACTTTAAAACATTCTGAAAATACTTTGTTGAAAGTTGAAGAGTACAAAAGTTTTGTTACTAATATTTGAACAGTTAGAAGAGAACTTAACCCATCACACTGCCAGTAGTAGACAGTTTTTTAGTTCATTTCTGAACGGAAGTAGATGTTTGTACGTAAAAGTGCGACGACATAATGCAGTAATTTTGAAGGTTTTAGCTACAACAACAAAAACTAGCACAATTTGTTGGACTTTCAAATCATAACGGTTTGTACTTGCAATAAAAATTAATGCTATTTATGAACAGAAAGAAATATTTTAAAATCACTTATAATAAATTTACAATATAGCTGCTTGATGAACACCTAACATGACATCAAAATATGTGAAAGTATTTTTAAAAATTATAAAGCAGAACATATCAGCTGCATTATTATAAGAAGATATGGTTAATAATAAATATTGCACAACTATTTGTAAATGGAATTTGCACATGGAATCGTGATTGCTAAATTGGAGGTTTGCTTAAAAAATATTCGTTTATAGGTTAAGGAGTAGCAAAATAACTGCTAATTAAACTTAGGCTGCGTAACACTGAATTCCTATTTTAGTTTTGAAAAATATCTTTAACTGACAACTATATTTTTTCATATAATTTAGGCAAATATTTAAGGCAATTGATTTTCAGATGTGATCAGTTTTACTCTTTTAAAGTAGATCACATGCATGGAGGTAGATGCAAACAGCCAATTGATGGCCTTTTTGTCAAATAACTTATCTTCTCATGAATGCTTGTTATGGTGAAATATAATCATAAGTAGCTTATCAACCGTAACAAAATATTAATTTAAGACTTTACTTTTTGGTATAATTTTATAAAATAAAAAGTATCATAACTAAATACCGAAAATCATAATGATATTCGAAGTATAAGCAGTTTCTATTAAATTTCCACGAAGCCACGATCATCATAACAGACTGATTCTACTTGATCATCGTAACAGCGTAATTGTCCAATGTTGTTTCCTGATAGGCAATAAAAATATCTTCCGAGTTTCCCAGTTTTTCGCTCTATAAGCACATATCTAAATTTTACACAAAAAACTTATTCGAAGTTCCAGCGCTTTCGCAAAAGTAAGAAAATGATGTTATATGTTAACTGTCACAATGGTAGCAGACGCAATGAGACGAATTACGTACTTTTCATTTTCTTTTTGGCACAACATCGAAATATATGAGGCTGTAGAGTGAAATTTATTTTTCTGCATCATGTAAAAGAAAGTACGTATTTTGCAGAACGTACCTAATGCACTTGATGTAAAATTCATAAGAATGGCTCTAATAAAATATTTTATTTAGTCTCTCTCTAAAAATGCCCATCTCTGATTTGATGAAGGTTGGTGGTGACGACGGTGGGTTGGTCTTTGATCTTCATCATGCCTCTTTGGACAGTATCCTGTTCTGTGACTGTAGAGGCCATATTCACAATCCGGAATGTGACAATGATTCGCTTCTACGCACCTGGTAATACAAAATGGAAATTACACATTTATTGAATTTAAACACAAGAAAATTCTAAAATGTTTCATTAATTTTGTAAGGTTAACAGATAAAAATTAAAGCGATTAGACATGATTAAATCATTACTATTAAACATTGTATATAAAATATTTTCTTCATTAGTTCACTCATAAAAATATTTAACAACTTGTATTATGCATCTATAAAAGCACAAAATGTATAGTTTACTTTAATCTGAAAAGCAAAAAATTAATTTGACAGCGTAAAAATTATCCACTTTTAACAGCGATCTCCAACTGATGGCTTGTGAGACGCATGCGACCCTCGAAGTAATTTTACACGGCCCAGCAATACATTTCCCGCAAATTAGTTAGCATTATTATGACAAGAATTTCAAGAAAATGATTCAAAGATCTAAATGATTTGGAACACAGTTTTACATTACTTTCATTACCATTCTCACAAACATGAATAATGCCCCAGAAATACTGCAGATGGAATTAATTTGCTTAAACTGTGTTATAAATCTTATTCAAAGATTTGAAAACGCATATTTGATTAAATATTTCTCGGCCCTGTCCAAAGATAAATAAACTCAATTAGGAATTTTCGCAATAAAAATAATCGTTTTGTTTAGGAGCAAATTTATCTGTCAACGGTGTTTATTTTTCCACTTTTGAAAATTGGTAGCTCTAAGAGAAGAACCTATTATGAGCATTTCTAATTCGCGGTGAAAATAGTTTCGGCTAATTTTTCTCCAATGATATAAACTTTATGAAAATCGGAACGCCATGAGGTGTTGCAGCTAAAAGGTGTAGTGAGAAAAACAGAAATTATTTACATACAAAAATATATATTTATTATACGCGTATTATATTAATATATATTTATTATATACGCGTCAAAGAAAAATTTAGTAAATAAAAGAGTGAGAATAGGTTGCCATTATTTATTCTCAAAATTTTATTTCACATGGAAGTTTTTCGGAATGTGTTTGTTTAGTTTAAGATACAAATAAATTATTAAGTGGTTAATTCGACATATTAAAATTGTTTGAAATAAATGTCAGTCTGAAAATTTAACGATTAGTAGTCAGTAAGTTTGAATTATAAAGTGTAGCCAACAGAAACTTGATTTCAGGGCAGGAAATAAATATAAATTGGAAGTTTTTCCTTTGCATCAGCATTTTTACTGTTTAAAAACTGTGAATAAAATTTAAAATTCAGTTTAAACATTCTGCTTTCTTAAAAACCTTTTCATTCTGTTTAAAAAAGAAATTGGTCCCGCAGCTGTTGTCAAACACTGTATTCCGCCAGCATGCACTTTGAGTTTGAGACTACTGTTCTATAATGTTCCAAAGATATTTGCAGGTGTTCTTAAACGTAATGCTTAACTTTTCCTAAAATAAATTCTGCATTAGGAAGAAAAAATTTCCAACGTTCTAGCGTTACAGATTGTATTTCTCTAAATCAGGGATTTCTAACGCTTTATTTACATTGAGCTCTTTTAAAAGAATATTTTCTTTATCAAGCCTTCTTACATTTTTCTGTATAATATATAATGTACAACATAATCATAATACAAATAATTACGAGTGAGTAAGTTAAAGATAAATTAGACTAAAAATATGAAAGAAAGTTAAAAAAAAAGGTTTCATTGGATTTATGTTTCATTATTTTTAGTTTTACAAGCATAGACAAATTTCCAGAAACAAAATAAAAAATTCCATTTGCGAAAACGTTCGATTTTAATTAATGGTGATGGATGCGTTTTATGTTTTGATGCAATGCATTTAATATTTGGCATAATTTTTTTTAAAATTCTTAAATCACATCATTTGGAAATATGCAACATGTTTTCCGCTTTCTGTAGTAACTTATTAACTTGTCTAAAGCCTGCTTCCAATAGGTAAGAAGAGAGAAATATTAGGAATGTTGGTTTGGCAACACAGTTTAAGCTACTTCTCTCGGCTGACTTTGACTTTTAAAATATATTAAATAATTTCACGGTACTTTCCCTCATATTTATTTTATATGATTTCCTCCTTGCTAGTAAAGCTACTATCTTTAATAGAAGTAAGGCATTGCTCCTTACTTCTAGATGATGGAGTTAAATCAATAAATAATTAATTATAAATTTTCGTTTTTTTTAATTAATGGGATCTTGATTTTCTTTTTTTTTAATTAATGAGATTCATATTATGCATATTCTTCATATTTGGCTATCGACACCCATTCGACCGCTTGATTATCATTGACCCCATTTAAAATTCATCGACCCTAAGCACCTGAGCTTCTACTTGCAGTTCTTGATTTTTGCACAAACTTAAAGGTTGTTCCTTAAGGCTGGCAAAAACAGAAAAGAGATATAAATTTTGAATCAATATATATATAAATTGGTATAAAACTGTTCACTTAAAAATCTCTTGTAATTTATGAGAATATCTCTTACCATAAAACTGAATATTTTTATAAATGAATTCCCCTGAATATCATTTTCATTCATTTTCTTAGATAATAGATATACAACTCAATACAGTTTCTTAGATATACAATTAATTATTTAGGTTGAGAAATAAAATTATTATTGCTTTTGTTGTTGTTTTTGCTATAATTATAATTATGACCCTTATTGATATCATTACTATTATTATTGTTATTAATCACGCAATCAGTTAGATGTTGAGAAATACCTTCTCTCTATCTCAGACAATGGCTCCCGGCCCCTCTTGATTCTGAGGCATGGCTTCTGACGATCGAAACAATCGCAACCACATCTTCCATCTTTATAGATACGGCTAGTGAATGGTACCGGGCATTCGCGACATCTAGAAGAAAGAAGAAATATAAACAATAATTGCCTATACTAAGGAACACTTCTGACTGAATCAAAAATTTAAAGCACATTAAAAGAAAATATTTTACAAAACGAAATTTCCTTTTTTCAGAGAAAAGAAAAAAACCAATAAATTACCTTCCATACCTAGGCTGTAAATTTTATTTTAATTAGCCCAATATTTTTATATAAATTCTGCCCTCTTACGACTTTTTCTTCCGCTAGCCTCAATAGAAATTAAGTGGAACTTATATAGCCAAAAAATGATAGGTGATAAGTGAGAGATAGAATTTGGCAACTGATGAGCAGCGAAGCTTCTCTTGTGAACAGCTCACTTGTCGTTCATGCTGATTTCTTTCTGTATTTTTTGACATTTATTAGTGTTATGCTTCGAGGTCTTACACAATATGAAGGCGGGTTGATAGATATAATTTTTTTTTTTTTTTTTTTTTTTTCAAAGACTCAGTAAGGAGCGATGAAAAAGTTGTATGTTTAGTTGTACCTTCGAGTCAGTGCGTAAGTGAACTTTTAGATTAGTTTCTAACTCACGCCTGTGTTCACTAGAGTTCAATGCATGCATCATAAGCCGTCTGTTGATAGTTAAGTATCCAGTTTAAACAAGCAGAAAGTTAGGAAAAGTTGATTTGACACGATTATTTATCGAAATGAATTCCTTATCAATACTTTTTCTAAATGTACCGTTTTTTTACCAGGTTTCTCATGTGAAATTACTAAAACAGCACTTTAAAGTTCTGCGTTCATGCATTTTAACTTTTCTTATAAAATGGAAGATTTCCGTTAAATATAGAACAAGAAAGAAAATGAAAAATAAATCTGGGCTTGCCACTTGTTAGCAACAGTATAATTATTCTTAAGAAATAAAAATGTCCTGAAATTAAAGATCTTGTATCTAGTTTAAAATTTGTTTTTATCAGTACAATTTGATGTTATTTGAAATTATCTTGTGACACGAAATCCACGCGAAACAATTCCGCTGTATGTCAAGATGTCCAAATCGACAGCTCTTCTTCAAACAGCTTGCCACAATACGAACAGTACTGCCCTCTATGAAATTAATATAGCATTTGTAAAATCAAGAGGGTAATGGTTTCTTTCATCAGAATTTGTGATAAATTCTTGACGGAAAATTAGAAAAGTTATGTACAGTTTATAAATTTTTTTTTTTTTTTTACTACTTAGAATGATACTTATTTTTATGTTCTTTAGGGTACTATTCGGTTTTGAGGGCCGTAAAAAATCGCCAAACTATTGTTAATGCCAATGCTGCCAAAAATAATTGAGGCTACCCTAATGCAAGAAAGGAAGTATAATAGTGAATAACTATCTAAGATTGATATAATACTTTTTATTATTATAATACTTTATTTATATACAAAAGGCTAAACATGACTGAATGGAAACATAAGCGTAAATAACTATTTCAGATCATTATTATAATTCATATAAAAATCGCTAAACATAACTGAAGGGATGCCTGCATCGCTGTTTCGCTACCGACTTATCGCTAAAGAATAATTTCATCTCGTTGGTTGTTCAAACGTAATTTTCTATAATGAATGATGCCTTTTCTTTGAAAAAAATTCTCTGTGAAGTGCAGAATCGCTCACTTATTTGTTTGCCGCTTTTTACAAGGGTATAAATAATTGGATTTTTGTCAATATTCTTTTACTTTTTAAGTGAAAATAGGTCGATGTGTACATAGATAAAGTAAAGGATGTGCGCAGTGCCATTTTTGTGCAATTCTGGAATTTTTTTTTTACGTGAAAATAGGTCGGTGTGCACATGGATACAGAGTATGTGCAATTCTTAAAAACGCGTCAAGCAGTGGGTGATTCCGCACTTTACCCAAAATTCTATTGCCGACGTTTCGTCATGGGCAAATCCCGAATTGTTAAATCCATAGGATATCAAAAAAGGATTTAACAATTAAACTAGTGTTTCAATGGCGTCTTAAGAAATATAGAACTATATAAACTTACGCAATCTGAAATCAGCGCGTATACGATTTGGCGCCCTGTTAAATGGGCGCGTTTGCTAGATTTGGCGCTTTTGCGCATACAGTTTCGCTGCAATTTTTTTACGGTCCTCAAAACGGAATAATACCGTTTTTAGTTATATTTGCATTTGAATTCATTTAATTCATTGTAAATATAAATGTGATTTTAAAGGATATATTTTAATCGTTTAATGCTATCATTCGGTTAATATTATCAAAATAGCCATTGATAAACATGATCACATTAAGCGGCACCTTCCCTATGATATTGTGCTAAATATCCAGTTATCTCGTATGCAATGTTTTTGCAGCTAGTAATAATGTGGCTCGAATCATCCCAGTATGCATCAGACGATTAAAATGTTATCCAGAAGTTCAAAATTAAATAATACTGACAAAATTTAAACTACGTTAAATCCGCGGACAGGAAAAATATATACATATAAATAAATAAATAAAAGTCTGAACGCTTTCAGATTTCATATAACACTGAAAGGAGCGTTTTTTTAACGTTTTGTGTGTTACCTTTATTTATTAAATATTATGTTCTTCGCACTTAAACCATAAAATTAAATTCAACAGCAATATCACAAAATAGTTAAAACAATCCATTAGAATTTCCGATACACATTCTCGCGCGTCGGAGATATATTTTGAGGGTGGAAGTACAGTGCTGCCATTGCTCGCTTTGAAATCAATGGGGCTGTTAACCAAAAATTCGTTAAAGCGTTACAAAATATGAAATCAATATTAAAACAAATTCCAAATTAGGGCTTCTAGATGCCGATATTCAGGTGGAGACGTACTTTATTAATTATTGATGGCTCTAGGTACCGTATAATTATTGATGGCTCTAGGTACCGTTGTTTTATCAGAATGCGAGAAACATACCTACATTTATGCAGATTCTTCATTATTTAATTTCTTTAAATATATTTAGTAGGCTCTAATAATTGGTGGCAACACTTTAAAAAGTGATTCGCCGTTTGTAGTGAATCAACGCAAAATGCCAAAACGAAATTAACAGTCCTTCTAGGCAAACTGCCCTTTGGGCTAACAAAATAAGTAAACAAAAAATAAAATGAAATAGAAAAATAAAATAAAAACACAAACCCCAATCATAAAATCTGAAAAGTTTCAGATTTTATAATTATGCCCAGAGAGACTTTTTTTTTTTTTTTTTTTTTTTTTTTTTTTTAATGTTTGGTGTGTTATCTTTATTTATTATATATCATATTCTTCGCACTTAAACCACATACAAATCAATTCAACAGCAATGTCACAAAATATTTAAAACAACATATCTTTAGAATTTCTGGTAGACAGCCTCGCGCGTTGGAGATGAAAATGCTTTTTTCCGCACAGTGTTGTCATTGCTCGCTTTGGAATTGTTGAGTTTGTTAATCAAAAATTCGTGCAAGTTTTACAAAGTATGAAACAAATAATAAATTCGAAATTCAATATTCGGGCGTCCAGGTGCCCATGTTCGGCTGGAGGATTACGTTATTGAAAATTTGATGGGTCTAGATACCTTCGTTTTTTCAGAGTGCCAGAAACATATATACATTCATGGAGATTCGTCATTATTTAATTTTTTAAAATATAATACTGGGCGATAATATTTGGGTTTGAACAATTGGTTTGAAATTGATTCGTAGTTTATTATGAAACGCTCAAAATTGCGTTTTGAAACTGATAGCCCACCGCCTCTTTGGGCTATTAAACCAATAAAAAAATAGATGGACAGGGTTGAGAAAGAAAATTCCCGTGCAGGATTATAGAAACGTTAATATTTGCGAAATGTGAAAAATATAATAATTGAAGGAATTGTAAACTTAAAAAAATTTCATATCATTCCCAAAAATTTATTTTTATTATTACTGTGAACTGAATCTACGATAAAGGTGCTTATTTTAATTACATCTGAAAGGTCTTTTAGGAGATAAACACCAAAAAATCAATCGATTAGGAATATTAATTTACAAACAAGCTATAAAAAAAAATAGATGCAATGGATTAGTTCCTATTTGTTCCTGTAGATGGCGGCACCTACTAGCCTAGAATGTTCATTTGACAAATATGTGTGAAAAATACCTTTCGTCACTTTCGGGTATATAAACATTAAATAAGATATGACATGATAAATTTTATCGGCTACTGGTCTTCGGATTACGGTAAAATAAATAAATATCTTATCACAAGAAGCAAACGAGTGTTTCGAAATTTTTTTTAAAGTAAAGGCCTAACATTTCATGCTGCAAATTTTTTTATTTTTGTACCGAGACATAGACCAAACTAAGACACAGAATGCTTAAATAACAAATATAAAAAACAAAGAATTATTCAATAAATTAAATTTTCGATATATTTTTAAGAAAATAATATCACTGTTTTACAGGCATTTCTTAAACGCGGGAAAAGTTAGGCACTTGCCAGGCGCACAATGAAAATATAATAATTTAAATAATCAAAAAGTTCTAATAATATACGTATAAAATTTAGAAAAATGTACCAATTCAAAGTAATAATAATAATAATAAGCAATTCATTAACCTGAAAAAATAAATAAATAACAAAAAACAATATTCCTGCCTGCTTTGTAAACCATTTTAGGAACTGAAACTAAGTGCTGAATATGAGTAATGGGCAGAGGTTACTTGGTGAAAGTAAAATGCTTAAAAAAAGTAAAGTAAAAAAAAATAAATATAGGCTTAAGTTAGTATGGATCATGTCGTCATATCGAAGGCGACCGTTTTCAATTGTGTTCGACATTTTTAAATGGGAAAGAGGACACGGAATTCATGAATCTGCATTAGAATGTCGTCTAAAAAAAAATTGATACAATTAATCTTTTTAAGAGTTTTTACGTTTGGAAGTGTAAGAAGGAATTAGGTCGTCCTTCTGAGCCGCAGACAAAGCTCTCTTGTTACAGTGTTTAGCAACCCCGCACAGCTACCATTATTCACAGGTTTTTGTATCCTATTAATTAGGAAATTTCAGGTAAAATGGGCAAGAACCACAGAAGAATTTTCCACAGCATGTGACAAGTCACCGCAAATGTGAATATCACTCCCTTACGAAAGTTTCTGTATAGTTCTGAATCGTTTCTTTGTTAATGGAAAAGTAAATAAATAAACCGGAAATTCTGAGGCGATTTAGCCTTCATAGATGTACACCGCCGAAATCATTGAGGACATTTAAGTTAGTATGGAATTATTTTCGCTGCTCAGAAGAACGGTATTTTACTCCTGGATAATCAGTGTCACGCTGTATCAGCCGCAGTAAAGAAAAAAAAATAGGTATTAAAAGTCCATTTACGTAAACTTCAAAAACTAAATTGCACGATTGCATTTTTGAAAAAATTCTCGCAAGAATTTACTTGTCACATTTTCTGTTTGAATATTTAAAGCAAAATTCAAGATGGCGGCCATGAATCTGACAACCGATTTAGTTTTCTATCTATCACTTACACCCATAATTTTATTTTTTAACCAAAACTGAAAACTTTCATATTTACAGAGCATATGGCCATTGATTTTACAGAAGCGTGGTTAAAATTTCAAAATATTCTTCTGGAGAAAGAGAAAAAATGCAGGAAATAAAAACGAAGAAAAATTTCAACATTCGGTTCTTCCATATACTCACAGGGAAAATTCTATGGGGACAAATCATACGTTATTTTACAATAATTTTCGACAATTAAATGACAGTTATCACTTAAATGTTATGTATAATTATTTGAAGCTGTAGGATTAAAATAGTCATTGACTTGTTTATTAAAATTCATTTGATAGGTTATTTTTTTATCTGTCTAACAAAGTCATGATTAAAAATTTTGGATGATCAGTTCTATAGTTAAACAGGGATATAAGCTAAAATTAGCAAAGGAAATTCTTTCAAGTTCAGGCTACGAAAAGTCTATATCGAATGTTTACATATTACTATAAAATACTGCATTGTCATCGAAAATAATTTCAAAACGGCCAGGCTCAGCAGAACATGATGAAAATTTGATAGGAAGATCTGATCCAAATAGCGAAACCAGCCGAAATAAAATTGCAAGAAAATTACGAGTAATTTAAGCCTATTTTTATTACGTCAATGTTCCTAATATTACAATGCACTTTTTCAAAATAATCTCCATTTATTTGTATATACTTATCGAAAAGAAAAATTAATTTGGGAGGGGGGAGATTTTTCTTAGTTCTAATTTAAACTAATTCTCCAAGTTGTCCTCAAAGAACATTTTGGGTGTCACTTCAATCCACCAATTTATGGCATGGTCAATCTCTCAAATCGAACACCTCATAAAGCTTTATTCAAACGTGAGAAGAGAATAAATACCCTTTGCAGATGTTAAATAAATTCTGTTTTCACACCCTCTTACCACAAAAAGGATATGATTACCCTTCGCGTTTTCCATGGTTGAAAAAACAGTGCTACAGATTACCCCAGTATCAGTCAAACAACTGAATCCCTACAGCGTTGCCTATAAATTCTAAGTATTGAACTAGAGCTCAATTCCAAGAACTCTGGATACCCTCTACGTACTCTTCTGTAATAAATCATGCACCATACTGATTAAACCCTCTACGTAGTATTCTTTGATAATTATGCCGTTACTGATTGTTCTAGATTAAAAAAATTAGCTAACTCACTTTGTTTTGTAGGCAGGTTCTTCTCCGTCCAGCGGGGAATATTGTTGAATTCTAGGCAAATCATTGATTGGCTGACATTGGCAAGCAGTATGATTGACGAATAACAATTTTTCAATACTACTGTCAGAGAGACCGTTCTTCCCAACAGCCAGCGTCTGGAAATCATTATAAACATAGATAACATATATTTCATGTTTCATTACTTTATTAATACATAAAATATTTAGAATAGAAAGATAATTATACAACAAGAATAATTTTTTGTTTCGTAATAATAAACAAATAGTGTATCTTTAATAGTGAAAATATGTTTCATGAGCACAATTTCCAGAAGGGTAATATAATCATTATTTTTAGAATATTGTACTAGCATACCTAAATAATTCTTTTACATGATGTCGGATACGAATATTAAATGTCTGTTATTAATGTTTTTTTGGGCAATTTACATATTAAAAAGTCATTATTTTGGTTATTAAAAGTATTATTTTGGTTTTAAAACAACAGATAAATGCATATATATTTTTTTAATTTCAAAGTATGGGTTTTTAAAAAATTTTCAATTAATGATGAAATATTTCCTTAATTGAAGGAGTAGTTACGAATATCATATACTTTATTATAAAAGAAATTGCTTCTTCCATTGATTTCATTGTTGGTGTCTTAACTGGCATTACGGTGTCAGATGCACTTTCTTCGGATTGCTTCTTGGACAGTTGTTGAATATGTACTGATACAGGATAATGAAATTGAAAATAAAGATTAATATAAATCCCCGACGAAGCACTAATTATCTAATACTTAATAAATATGCAAATTAAGTGAATGAAAACTTTTTACAGTGTTAAAATTCAGCTATGTTGTGCTGTTAAAAGGGGTTTCTGGGCGTGATCAGTATTCATTAGTAATGACTCAAAGGCATCATTTGAAAGAAACTCAGAAGTAGCATTGAATTGGCGGACTTAAAAAGGGAGGGGCAAATACAAATGGAAGTCGACCAAGATCTGAATATTTCGTAAGGTGGCATATCAAGAAATTGTTAATTGATATAAAGCTGTGCCATGTAGTACAGAAAAAATCATATAAAATGGGAAACACGCTAACACGCCGCTTTGGAAGATAAAGTGAGAAACGAACCACTAATTTTTTCACATTCAGGCCAATCTCGGTAGGTCTTCGTACTGCAACAGAGCTAACTGATTCAAGTTCTGTGGCAGCCTGAAGGTCTAAAACTAACTATTAGATAGTTTTCCTGATTTTTTTGTGCCAATAATGACAGAAAACAATCTTGTGATGCAATTTTTCCTCTTCGCTGTCCTCGACCAGGCTTGTCTATTTATTCATTGATTCACTGCTTAAAAAGCAGTGATTTTTGGACTTTTAATATTTAGACATAAAACTGCTTAATTCAGTTTCCTCTCGTTCAAAAATATTCAACCTTTTTCTTGTTTTTCGCTGCAGTTTTGTTTTCTTTGTATTTTTCACTGCGTGCATAAAACATTTATATAGTATATTTAAAAACAAATATATACATTATTTATTTTTAAAGCATGTTAAATAATTTTAGTGTGTTTTCCCCATTTTATGTGATTAAAAATCATATAAAAATATGTCCTTACTACATGATATAGTTTTGTATCAATTAGCAATTAATTATTAGTTTTATTTTTATTATTATCATTTTTTAATCAATGGGATCTCTATTATGCCGATCAATTGCCGGTGCATATTTCGGCTACCGGCACCTTAGTCAACAATGACTTCTTTGAAATTTCATCAACCTTCAGCGGATCATTACGGACCCCGTTGGGAAACCTTGCATTCGTGCGTGGCTGTAAGCAGCAGTTAAATTGTCTATTATCAGAGATGGTGCAATGCTTTTTTTTTTTTTTTTCGGAATAATTATTTAAATTTTTAGCCCAAGTTTAGGCATTTAAGATTATGGATACTCCTTATTAATTTTATTGCAAAATCTAGACAGAATCATGATTCATTATATTCTGCATTTGAAATCTCTGTAATCGTAATCCACGAAAAGAGTACATGTGATACAGGCTAAAATTGGAGCAACGTAAGCTAAAACATACTTCTATCTGCAATTAATGTCAAGCAGCTACGCTTAAATCAAATATAAGGTTTGTCCAGGTCGTAATCTGACCAGTTTCTTTGGTCAAGCAGAGGAACCAAAAGCAGTCTCCAGGTGTTAGAGCTTGTATGTGTGTGGGGAGGGGCAGGGGAAAGTTTAGGTCAACAGTCAGTATTTTGCCCCTTGGTTCTAATTTTTTATAAGATTCGTTTGTGAAGTAGATAGCTGTTTGAGCATCGCTGAACTGCCAAACTGCAGAAGAGGATCGAAAAGCAATATAATTGTAATCAAGATGCTTGCTCCCTTAGACTTTCTGTGTCACAGTATTTCTGTTCATTGAAAAGCATTCATTTTCACTGAAAACCCTAATGTTTCAGTGGTGTAAAATATTCAAAGGTGGTAGAGAGAACATTGAGGATGAACGATGTGCCATCAGCATCTCACACTTCGGACGATGCAGTTAAGTTGAAAGTAGTTTTGGACGTTGACTGACTTCTGATTCTAAGACTGATGGCAGTCAAGTAAGACTTAAAAAATCCATGTTTATGGAGTACTCATTAAAGAATTTCAAACCAGTAAAATTATGTCAAACTCTTTACTAAGATTCAACCAATGAGCAGAAGAAAATTCATGTGCCGAATTCTCATGAGTTTTTGGACTGTGTGAAAACTGAACCTGATTTAGCTTAAAAAGATATTATTTTGAGTCTTTAAAAACGTGCGAACTCAGATGAAAAGCGCTTTAACAGAAATCCTCTTCAAAATTTCCAGGTGACAACGCACAGCCGAATCGTAGCAGAATTGTATGCATGGCAGTACATCGTGAACGATGTAATGGTGCTCGATGCTATTTCGAGGAGTTTTACGTGCGTGTAAGCATATCTCAAACTAAACGAATTTGATGGAATGATTCGCATGACTGTCCAAGAGAGAACTTGTAAATTAATTGTTCCTTGAGAATGTAACTTTTCATGAAATTAGATTTAGATGCTGAAATATATATGCATAACTACTGCTAAATTATAGAAGTATCAAAGTTTATAAATTATAGACATATAATGATTGAGTATATTCGAATACTATATAAACAGAAATATAAATTTAATTTAGTAAATGAACGTTTTCTCCTTGTTTTGCTGAAATAAATATTTAATATCCTTATGTAAAACTTAGAGAGGGATACGGTAATTTCATTATGAAATTTATACTAAATGGAGAAATAAAGTTTTTTTTTTAAACGAAAGTGTTCACATTTATCTATAATATTTTAATAGGGACATATTGACCTGGAACATATTCTAAATTCATACTTATTACGATCCATACAATTTCACTCACATAAAAATGTAGTGTGACTTCTTGCATAGCACTAGGAACGCAGTGGAATGCGTCGCTGTCACAGCAACCAGAAGTGTCGCTGCATCTGTGGAGGAGAGTACATCGTGGCAAGTATTCTCTGGATGGATCTGGATAGTAATCTTTCACTCGCACTACCTGCGCAACGGGTGCCCTGCACCGAGCGCGGTTCCGGATCCTGAGGAAATGATCGTTAGCCATACGCACATCATCTAAGTCTAAGAAGTAGAGAAAAAGGTACAGTCAATTAATAATTGATTAAATAAAACACCATTAAAAACACCTTCTATATAATAAACTTTTATTTAAAATGGATATGATAACTAATGCCCTAAAGAAAAATAATTTATCATATAGTTTAATGGGAATGACATATTAAATAACTCTATTTACAGAATTCGTCTACAATTTTATGCCCCGCATAGTAAAATCGTCGGGCGCCCATTGTAAGTATAAAAAAAAGGCTTATACAGTATCTTGGCATCATTAAAACAGAGATAAATTATAAGAAAATTGTGACAAAAAGAAAAATAAAAACGTCATTTAGAGAATTAAAAAAATCTCTTTGAATATTCAATTCCGGAAACTGGATATAATAACAATGTTACGAACTGCATTTTACTTGAAGCTATAAATAAATAAAAAAAAATTAAATAAAGAATATGGCCAATTCGTCATTCAGTGAGCAAAAATGGCAAATTCAAAAGCAATCTTTCCTCAAGAAACGCCTTTTTTATCATCTGCTTCGGACTGCTTCATATTTCTTTAAAAAATGTAGAAAATCGCTGAATTAATATTTTTTTATCATTCTTCTTTTAAAAGAGTGCAAAATTTGCAATTGTAAAAATTACAAAACTATATATCCGATCTATTTTTCAGATGTCGAAATTTTAAAATCATAAACTTCTAGTCTAAAAAATTCAGCGATTTTAAAATTCCGAAATTAAGTTATAATTTTCAATAAGTATCATTGAAAATATAATTTAACGCTCTATTGGATGGTGCAAACAATAATTTCAATACGCTTAGTCTGTTCTTTGAACAAAGGAATGTGTGAAAAATAATTTAAATATTGGGAAAAAATCTACATCGAATTCTGAAAAAAAAATCGCTTCATCACATTACATTTTAATCGACAAAAACTGTGTGTACAAAATTTGAACTCGACAGCTTAACAGGAATTAGGTTAAATAGCGATGACAAAATTTCAACTAAATACATGAATGAACTATTTCAGGCTTATGAAAATATATCCGGATAAGACTACGGCAAAATTATAATAGTAAGGCAACTGATTTTAATATAGCCTTTTTCAAACAGTCTCCAATTTGAGACCACTCATATAATATACTATATCATTAATATACCGATATAATGATTAATATTTAAATAATATTAATGGTAATAGCAATGAAGTGTATTAATGTAAAATACTACATGATTTAATAAAATAGTACATAACACATTATTGTACACTACATGAATTATATAGTGTGTTATATAGTATTATTGATATAGTGCATTATTAATTGACTGTCATATAAATACATTACAATAATCATAAAATGTGTTTTATTGGAAATGATACGGTTATTAATGATTAACTAATGTAGGGTATAACATGGCACACTATATGCTTCAGGCTTCCAAATTAGAGCTAATTAATTTACTTTAACCATATTAATACCTTTTCAATTTTGCTAATAAGTTGAGGCACAGGAGGAATTAGCAATTAACAGCAAAATTTAAGCTCGGATTTTAATACAGTATGTACATATCCTTATGTGCCTCAAATCTATATAAAATGTAATCCAGAATTATGCTTGCATTATTCATAGTATTAAATACGTATGAAGATAATTATGAGTCACAATATTTTTATATTAGTCAAAATTATTTTTCCTACATTTGTAACATACACATATAAGATTGAAAATGCTTCGCCGTTTTCATTTTTACAGATATTTTTATTATGCTGAATGATGGTGTAAATGCTGTCTAGAAACACCTACGTTCTGAAGGAGAGGCAAACTTCTTAGTTCACTATACTGCTCCTTCTTCGATGAGCATTTGCTGCTTTCTTTCCCAAATACAGATAATTGTTCAGTTTATTTCATCAGGCATGCTTTCAAATGAGCAGTCATCTGGCTATAGTTTCCTAATGCTACATTTCCTGGTAGATGGATAAGCCGCTAAAACCTGGCACTCAAAATGGAGGCTATAGTATACTAAAACTGTCAACTACCTTAATTCCGACTTCGTTTCGTTATTCTTGATACTATTTCCACTATTCTATTCTACTTTCGTTATTCTTGATCGCTACTTGTTGATTCTTTCGGTAAATTTGAAAAAAAAAAAAAAAAAAAAAAAAAACGAATGACATACACGACATAGGCTTAGCAGAATAAGCGATCAAAATACAAGTAGATCATTTTCAACTGCTAATCAAAGAAACCCACTTTCGAAGCTTCTGAACTACCCACCATAATATTTTCATGATTAAAAACATACATTAGTGTTCACATTCACATAATGTAACATAAATTCTCACACATTCGACTGATAAGAATTAGTATCGAATAATTTCATTTTATTACCAATGTAGCAATATAATTTATTTCTGCTGAGCCATCTAAAATTTCGCTAAATATTTCTTTTGTAAAGCGTGAATGCACAAACAATACATGGAATTTAACTTGTCTGGTTGATTCAAGGAATCAGAAGTAAACAATAGCGAAATTCTGAGAGATATCCGTATTAAGAATTAAATAAAAACTGAGAAATTGGTACAAAGTAGTAATTCTTTGGAAGTCCCTGAAGATCATTCTTAATGGCATCTTCGCAAGTATGAAGTAGGTCATATAAGAAGGTATTTTAATATTACGACATACAGAACAATAAAACTATTGTTTAATGATAAAAATACTTTACATTCGTCTGCTTACAAATGGGCCATAAAAGAAAGAGTAGCAATCAATACAGCCAAGCACAGGAATCTACTTTCATACAAATAACTATAAATTTTCTCGTTATTTCTAAAAGATGGTGTTCATGTTAGGTGAAGAAGAATTCTGACAATCTCAACGCTGAATTGGAAATAAATTTATTCCCATCTTCAGCAGAATCGATAAATAATAGCAAAGATGCTTCATAGTAAGAACAATAGACCATACAGCAATACACCTGTAAATGATCTTTCAGCCTGTGGCCTCTATACCATTGTTTATACGCTGCGCATATTCTGTATTTTCTTTTCTAGTAGTGAGAATTTAACCTAAAAAATCTTGTTAAAATTTTACAAACTTCTAACTGAACCTACAGTTATATATATATAATTAAAATAAGTCATGAAGTATATAAACAGAAAAACTTGACAACCTTTTATTATTTCAAATTCTAAAAGCGTAGTTGTTAAATATTCCTTTCGCTAAATCCTATGAATTTCTTTAAATAGTAAAAATCAGCAACGTGATATAATAACACTTTAAATATTGTCGCAATTTTTCTCTTTTGGTCTTACAGTTATATTTCAACCAGTAAATTTTAGCTGAAACGCATATAAAAAATCTTTAATAGAATGTGTGAAAACTTGTTCATCTGACATATTAAAATTAAACTCTGGATTCGTTTACATAATCATAAACAGCTGGCTAACTCTGAAACCTTACAGAAGCTGTAGCGCTCAGTGCAACAGATATCTCAATATTGTCAGCTAGCCAGGTACAAGGATTAAATTATTTGATTACAATAAAACACACGAAAGCTATTTGCCAGCAGGCAGATTCGCCTTTGTGGAGTACTTTTTAAGAGAAGCTGACTTTTATTTACTTTACATATTTTCATGGGACAACCATGAAAATGCCTATGTAGCCAGGCATTTGCCAGTTCGAACCCAGATCGAAATACCAGTGTTTAGTTCTCTGAGCCATTCTGCCAGAGGAGGAGTTTCCAGATGGTAGGAAGAAACCCTTAATAAACAATTATATCTGGAACTTGATTGGACGAGAGTGAGGCGAAATTTTCACGCCGTCTATAATAAAATATTAATTTTTGTTAAATTACTTATGATAGTAAAACATATGTGAAAAGATTAAGAATTTATGAGCTAAAAATGAGCGCTCACCTCAAAATGTCCAGAAGGGTCAAAATGTCCTCAAAATGTGCGCAAATTATTTCGTTCTTAATTCTGTAAAATCCATGATTCAATGCATAACTGCAGATTAAACACAGTTAGTTCATAAGGATTTTACTTTAAGGATGAGTTATTATATAGTAAAACAGTATATCGTTTTCCATGATTTTAAATTTATATGTCTGTGCCACATACGTCGCATGTTTTGAGATGACGTGCTTGAGTCACGGGAGTCACAGTATGATTATATCATGCTGGCTACGTGTACACCTGCCATTACATATCTTCGGCGAGATCCTTGCATCCCACTTAAGAATTCTAAGGCCGGAATCCAGTTTTATTGGTAATTTGATCAATATTGAATTTCGTTGAAGGATAGGATATTCACCAGATGGAAGTCTGACTGTCCTGACCTCAGTCTTGAGAAGCTTGAGGGTGATATTCCAAGAAATGTTACCGAAACACATCAACTCCTTCTCAGAACCCTTCACGCGTTAAATTTGTTCACGTCAAAAAACGTGATTTATTTCTACAAACACTTCAGAATAGTTTTGTTATTGGTGATATAAGAGTTAATTAATTTTCCTGTCCAGGGTACACACATTCAATGTTACCCTGCTTTTTCTTAGGGATATGCTACAGCGTGTTAGGGAAATCTTTTCTTAAATTTATATATCATGAAAGAATCATGGTTCTATACATAAACGTTTGGCAATGTGTCCTAAGCAGAAGATACAGTATTTCTTCTTGTGGTGTAGAAGTGTTATCGTTCTGCATTTTAATTGGGTATGAGAGTATAAAGAACTACACAGATTATTAAGGCCTAAAATAGAGAATATTACCTCCAATTATTACTCACTTTTGATCAGTTTCTAAATTTCTTAGAATATTGAATTTATCTTATTAAAATATTTAGCATTCTGCATTATTCAAATCTTTACATATTATTTTCATATTAGCCATACATATCCAAAACTTCCAGATTTACAGTCTAACACCTCCAACAGTTTATCAATAAAGTTTTAATAAATGAATAAATAATATAAGAAACATAAGCTTAAAAAGAAACTGTAGTATCATGTCGGT